TTAAATAAATATAAAATTCAATATTAGATGAAAAACAACAAAAACTGTTGAATATGACTGATTGAATGTATTTTTAGTCCAGTGCCTGCATATAAGATTAGTATTGACCAAGTTCAGAGGCTGTCATATGTGGATCAACTTACTATGTTGTGTATTTTCAATAGTTTCAATATGAAAAATTGCTTTTATATTGATTCAATGGATTTATTGCATTTTGAAGAAAAAAAATTGTCATGGATTTATTGCATTTTGGGAAAAAATAATACAATTTTATAATAAATCTTTGAAAATCAAAATCTGGATTTGAATTTTTTGTGTTATTTTAACCTAAAGATGCTATGTGAAAGTTTGAAACAGAAAATAGTGGTTTTCATCTTGCCACTTTCTTGGTAAAGAAAACACATTTTTACTCAAATTAATCAAAATGGATTTATAGCGTTTTGGAATTAAACTCTTCATATATATATATACAGTATATAAACGAATTAAACTGAAAAAAAAAAACTAAAACTTAAAATTAAATAAAAATTTAATTATAATTACAAATTAAATAAAAGCTAATAATTCTTAACACTGGTTGAAATGCAAATAATCTTAAATGAAATTAAGCCTTTTTTTAACCTTATGGCTTAATTTTCATCTCTTACATCATATACAATTCATAATCTCTTTCTTTTAGGTTGAAATACAACCTAGACATGTTCCTGACAGGTCTCATAAGATTCAGAGCCAGCTGCCAAAACGAAGCATAGATTGACAGAAACTGAAGAAGTAAAAGTGTAGAGCTCTCTCAGTTTGCGTCAAGCATCTTAACACATCTCCCTCATATATGAGCACTCTGACAGATGCGTCATCTCTCCGGAGCATTATCCACACACTACACCATCACAGCATTTCTCACAGAGACTGAGGGATGTTTGGTACACACACATAAAAGCTTTCAGAGTGAAAAAAACATGCTCTCGCTACACAACTGATGTGATTTTAAACAATTAATGTCACGAAGAGAGAGACCACGGGTCATGACGCACAGACGGCTACTGAGCCCCGTACTGGAAATCACAGACATCTCTAGAGTTCCTCGAAGTATTTACAGCAAAGAAAACGAGCGTGACTCTTTTACATTGTGACAAAATATTTCTGTTTCAAATAAATGCTGTTCTATTAACCTTTCTATTCATCAAATAATCCTAAAACATGTATTATTGTATTATGGTTTATAAGTAAAATCGTATTTATGGTTTCCACAGAAATATGAAGCAGTAGAACAGTTTTCAACATTGATAATAATAATAATAATAATAATAGAAGTTTCTTGAGCAGCAAATCAGAATACTAGAATGATTTCTGAAGGATCATGTGACACTGAAGACTGGAGTAATGATGCTGAAAATTCAGCTTTGATCACAGAAATAAATTACATTTTAAAATATGGATTCAATTCAAACAGAACATTGTTCTTTTTAATTGTAATAATATTTCACAGTATTACTGTTTTTACTGTATTTTTGATCAAGTAGATGTAATGGAAAGCATGAAATTAAGCATATATGCACAAGTTCTTCCTTCACTGGATGCCAGAATTCATATACCTGGAAATTCATAGATGTGATCGGTCAAATTCCACAGATTGACTTCTTGGCTTAATCAATAGAAATAATGCAAACCTCAAAGCTGCATGTCTTACAGCGTTCTGGGATCTGAAATCTTGTAATGTCTATACTGTCTAGTGTAAACCTTTAGAAGAGTGTGGCATATTTCGAGAGTAAAGGGTGAGGGAACTCACTGGGGTTTGGAACAGACCTATAATGTTCATTGGGAATTGTGATGACGACAATATTTTCTGAAGATTTTCACACAGATGGTGCGAACTAGGTCATCTGAGAGAGAGAGAGGAGGTTCCCCACATACATAATCAAGGGGAAGTGGAGATGAATGCATTTTCTAAATAAGGCTCTCCTGAAATAGATTCATAGTAAGCAGGTGAACTGAGTGAATCTCAGCTGTATGAACAGGTAAGTGTGTGTTTGATTTTTTTATTAGGTTTGTCGTTTTTTATTATCACTGTTGGGCCACAGTGTATATTTACACTGAACAAAATTATAAACAACACTTTTGTTTTTGCCCCCATTTTTCATGAGCTGAACTCAAAGATCTAAGACTTTCTATGTACACAAAAGGCCTATTTCTTATGAATTCTGCGTGTCTCTGTGTTAATGAATGGCACAGACGTGCGGTTTTGTTTACTACTTGTACTGAAACGCGCATGACGCTGTGATATTAATGTCTGCTGTCTCACTAAATGAGGACATAAATACATGAACAACACCCTCCAAAACTGCTAGTGAGAGTCACTTCATATTTTCATTAATTAAACTGTCATTTTAGCGCAAAACGTATCAGCTTAACCTTATTTTAAACTCATAAACTTCAGCTTAAAATGATTTTTTTTCTCAGTTTCAACATTTCACAACATGAATCATTTGCAACATTTCTCTTTTTTAAGATTTTCAATCTAATATTTCTATTTTATTTTATATGAGCTTTATTTAAATTACAGAAAAATATATATTTATATTTCCATTTTTTTAAATAGTTTTAGTTAACAGTAATAACTGTGGAAACCACAAAGAGCAAAGAGAGGTGACTAATGGGAACACAACAAAAAACAAAATGCATCAAAACGTAATAATAATAATAACTAAAAAAAAAAGGACACAATAACCCACAGACTGAAACACGTAACATAATATTTTGGAAAAACAACTGCAACAACCTGCATGTGTGTGTGTGTGAGTGTTTAATTTAGAGAATTAAAATTCATTAATTAAAATAAATAAATACTACTACTACTACTACTACTACTAATTGTTATTATTATTATTAAGCTGCAGAACATCCAAACCCTTCCATACTGTGGCTTCTCCTCCATTCAACACTGTCTTTATCTCTTCCTTCCATTTTTCCCCCTCATCTCTTTCTTGATGTGCTAGTGGGTCCGGCCCCTCAGCTATCCAGCCATGACACCATTGCCATGACTACGCTCCACCTCTCTCCGCCTGCATCTCTATCTCACCCTCACACGTTTTCTGACAACGATGCAAGCCGACGGCTACACAGAGAAGCTTCTTGACTCTGCATGTGTGTGTGTGTGGCACAGCAGGTATGCTAGAAATACCATTTAACAATTACAAAACACCCTGAGTCACACACACTTCCTGTCATCTCATGAATTATTCATTTGGACTTCAGTCTGTTCAGTTGTACCCTGGCTCACACACAAACACACGTGTACACACAGACGCTTGTATACGACACTGATCTAACGCTTCGGCGAAACACCTCTGCGCTATTGAATGAAAGAGAGATTCAGCAGGACACCACAGCATCCATATTAATACACAAAGCACAGCTGCTTTTGAAGGTTAAGTGTGTAAAATTTCTCCATGTTAAAATGTTTTCTCTTATCCCATTTTAAACTGCAAGGACATCTGACTCATTATTCAGTACTGGGATGGAAAAATGCTAGAGAGGCGTATGTATGGGTCGACAACAAATAAAGTGTCAAAAATAAAAAGGAAAATCGGTAGCACTTTATTTTATAGTCCTGTTCCACATGTGCATACTATGTACTTATTATAGTAGTTACAATAACTGGGAAATAACTAGGTACTAACCCTAAACCTAACCTTAACCCACGTAGTTCCCTTATATTACCTGGCCAGTACTAGGTAAGTACATGCAAGAGCACATACTGTAAAATAAAGTGCAACCGAGAAATCTTTTAAAAACAGTTTAAAGCACGTGCCAATTTCTCAGAAATTTAATCTTTGTGTGTATGGTTTGTATACGCTGTCAGGTTCATTTTGAAACTACTTACAACATTTTTAACAACATTTTAATGATGTGGCATAATACCTTGAATACATGTGAATACATCTTATTTATTAATTATTTTTTAAAATATAGTTTTCAATGTAAAATGTATTTTATACAAATCATTAATTTATAAACAATTAAAAATAATTTTTATTTATTTATTTTAATATTTAATTGTATGACTATAAAAATATAATGTGCTGCAACTATCAAGTAAAAAGTAATAAAACATTTTCCTTAGACCTTGAATGAATGTGTGTAAAAATAATTATTTTCAACAACAACAACAAAAAAAAAAAATAGTTGACAAATATTTTTAAGGTAAAATGTATTTTATACAAATGATGAATATCATAACTTTTTTTTAGTTGCACCACAAGACATTTTACAGCCTGAACTAACTGAACTTTATCTTCAATAAATAAATAAATAAATGCATTTTATCTAAAATACAATAATATTTTAAGAGACTAACTGACATAGTTATTAGGGTTTGCACCAAAAATAAATTTAGAAAAAACCTCATATGAAAATATAAATGAAACATCAATTACAATGTTTCATAGTTTAAACTTATATTAAATGCAAATATTGGGTGCTTTAATATCCCATTAAACAGGACGCAAGTACATCTTTGTACGTAATTTCATAATTACTTCTATTGTCTTTGAAATATGGTGTAGAAGTGTACTGCTGAATGTACAGACAAGCATTTATGTTAAACCAATTTATGGTAAATATAATACCTTTTCCCACCTGTTATTCACTATGAGTTTGGGACACCAGTTAGAAATCCATCATTACTTTTTGCAATTCACAAAAACTACACATTTCAGCTTGAACAGTCATGATAAAATGCTCTCACACTCAAACACGCAGCACAAAACAAGTGGACAAACTCATCAGATACACTGAGACAATCACAGCAGTCTGTCAGTGGTCAGACGTCTTTAGGAATATACACGCTTTCACACATATACAGCATATGTGTGCTTATATAAGCCACATCATTACAAACATGAGGAAAGAGTGAAGAGACACACTGTCCCGACAGAAACCAGACAAACCCAGGCGTGGCGTATGGAGGCAAAGCGTGCGGGTCAGAGGTCATGGGTACACACCTTGGCATTAATATAGGGGTCAAATGGGCCACAGCGTTTGAACTCAGTGTGGTCTAGAGCGCTCTGGGAGAGGGGAGAGAACAGGAAGGAGATGTGTTCAGCCTCACACACACACACACACACACAATGAACACAACGACTGTTAATGAATGACATGATCAAACAGGCAAAAGAAACCACAGGCTGGCTTACAGTCCGTCGGATGATAAACGTCACATGAGTGAATATGTGTTAAAAGTACATCTAACTAGAATTAATCAATGTGAAAAAGTTTTTGAAAATGAAATTAACCATCAAATGTTCATTTGACCAATCGAACGAAGGAGAATAAACCAACCTTATGAAATGACAAAAAAATGAAATGAAACAAATTATGCCATCAATCCAATCCAGTCCAAAAACTGTACAATTAATTCATAATAAATTATTAATAATAATAATTCATAATAAATCATTTTTGGCTGCTGTTTCATTTCATTTTGAGACATGTCATGCTATACCAAGTCAAGCAAAAACGGAGATGTTAAATGAAAACTGCGATTATTATGTTACTGAATAATATTGAGTGCATCACTGCAGAATAATAAATGCACGAAAGCCTCTCCAAATTATGCAAATTAATATTCAGCTTCGTTTGGTGAAAGATGTGACGGTGCTGGAAATAAACAGGCAACGGATTCACAACAGGATGGCAAGTGAGAGCAGAAAACGCTTTCCTAACGTCAGACTGAAGCTAGTCCTGACACAATAAACATCCTCATTAATCTCATAGTGACTTTCCTACAGGTAAATACTGTTTACATTGACTGTTGTTTAAATGTATGATAAATTTAACTTTGTGGGGGGTGGAAATACATATTATATGTTTGGTATGGAATACTAGTATAGGACTAACTTAGCCTTGTGAAAAATCGGCTTAATGTTTAATGAATAGCTTCGGGTTCGTGTCGGGTTCGGGTTAATGTTTAATGAATAGCTTCGGGTTCGGTCGGGCTCGGGTTTATAGCTAAACTAAAACTATATGCAGTAGCCTAGGCTACGCTGCTTTCATAGACGCACGCACGCACACACACATTAGTGCACACGACAACGACAACACAGCACGGAAACTTTTATTAGTAAAATAGCTTCGACAGGCTACTGACTCGCAACTTTATATTTCTCTGCAATGAGGGGGTAAAATTGCTGTTTTTGAAGTAACTAGCCTCATTGCTTGTAGAGAGAGACGCACAGACGCAGGTTCACACACGCAACTTTCATCCCTCTCTCTCTCTCGCTAAATCAAATAAATGATATAATTAATTAATTCAAATAAATGCGATCTTATGTAAATAAATGCGAATGCATCTCTGTGTCTGAATTAAAGCAGGCCAAATGCTAACGAGCCTTAACTGACGAAAATGACCATAATTTGCACGATGGAAGAATTATCGTGTAATTTTCATTTTTGGGTGAACTATCCCTTTAAGAGCTCTTTTTTGACCCACTTAAGTAGGACATATAAAGTACATCTTTATATATAATTTCATAATTCTACACATTATTCTAAAAATGTGTAATGCGTTAGCTCAATAAATAAATGACTGCTTGCCATTTTTTTGAGTTATGACAACTTCATAATGAAACTGCTTAACCTGCAAACTACATTTACAATTTAGAGTAACTTAATTTGTAGCATAAACATAATTTAAAGCTAGGATAGGACATGCTAAATATAACTTATTTGTTGTGCATGTATTATGCATGTAAATTTAATGAACATGTAATATATTACTTGGCACTGGCATTAGCACAGTTACTGTTCATATATTTGATGTAGTGTTTACCTACATGTATTCTACTCTTCAGCACAATGGCAACCACAAAAACTTAAACATAACAGAAATCCTTTTAAATGTCACATAACATAACAGCATTAAACACTAGCAGGTCTTGTTGGTAACCAAACAGGTGCTGGTAGCCATTGATTTCATAGCATTTTTTCCATACTGTGGAAGTCAATGGCTACCAGCAGCTGTTTGGTTACCAACATTCTTCAAAATATCTTCTTTTGTGCTCAACAGAAGAAAGAAACTTGTACAGGTTTGAAACAACTTGAGGGTGAGTAATTTTTTTGGGTTAACTATCGCTTTAAGCATACTTTTTTTTCCCCGCAAGGAATACTTACTATACTATATAAAAAACAATATGCATGACAGTACTATAAACATTTCAAACAGTGCATTACACTGCTGTCACACAACCTGTATTTTTACTTTAGCATGTGATGTCAAATCACGGGAAAAAAAAAAAACATCAAAATTTGCATTGAAAATTGTCATAATGGAAATATCAATGTCTAGATTCAGATACTGGTAGTTACTGATTTTGCACCTGAATTTGGTTAATCTTCAACTCTAGTGTCCAAAAGTTCACAGACATTGTATTGATTCAAACTTTATCAGGTGATGCAAACAAATTAAAACGTCATCTTCAACTTTACACCACAAAAAAACTATTTGAAATTCACCCAGATGTGTTACGAGTAAAAATAGCAGTTGTAAATGAAAGCTGCTTGTATTAAGGGTGAGATGTCAAGGGTGTGAAGAGCCTGTAGGAGGAAGCGACAGTCTTCCTGATAAACTGCAGCTATTCCTGAGACGTGTCAAAAAAAGGCTATCCTTGAAACTACTGAATTTACACAGTCAACAACCCCCAATACTAATGATCTCAGAGAGTGCGCTGTTAAAAAGGTGCATATTTACAGCACAACCTAAGGTCTACGGACAGTATTTATTCTGACTCGCCCCTCAGTTTGGAAGATCATCTCCTCCTCTTTACTCCTAGTCGTAGCACAAAATAAACGTGAATAACATCAGAACAGTAAATGCCTTTAAATCTGAGGTGAAGGCTGCTCGGTGTCGGGTGGTCAGACCTGTTCATTGAGTTTGGGGTGAGATGGACCCTGATGGATGAGGAGTTTGACGATTCGCTGGTCTCCCTTCCACGCCGCCAGGTGCAGAGGGTAACAGCCCTTGTTATCAGCGATGTTCGTCAGAGCCTCGTTCCTCAGAAGTACTTCCACCACCTCACTGAGAAAGAGAGAGAGATACATAAACATCTCTGATACATAAACAAATATATTTTAAAGAAAATATATTCCTTAAAAAAATAACTCCTAAAACATCCTTAAGGTCAAAGGTCATCAGGTGACAGGACTCACCTGTGTCCATTTAAAGCAGCGTGGTGTAGAGGTGTGTATCCAGTGCTGTCCACACAGTTCACATTCGGGCCCCTCCAGATACTGTCAAACAGAGTGGACACAATATGTTTTTTTAAAAATGACAAATTAAAGTTGCATTCTCATGTCAACAATGCCGTTTTTCATTTACTATGCAAATCAGCATATTAGAATGATTTCTGAAGGATCATGTGACAATGAAAGACTGGAGTAATGATGCTGAAAGTTCAGCTTTGATCACAGGAATAAATTACATTTTACATTATATTCAAATAGAAAACAGCTATTTTAAATTGTATTATTACACGTCTCTGTGGAATACTTGATTACGATTTCCTGGAAGGTCATTCTCGGACTGGATATGTGGATTTTCTGTGTGAGGGCGCCCTCTGGCGTCCAGTATGAATGAAACAGACATCATGTGTTTA